TCGAAATTTCCTTTGATCCATACCATCTAAAATTTTAGCAACTTTCTTCACAGATGATCTACAAGTATAATTGTGCATAATTTTATTATACATACAATATTACAGTTATATAATTTAATGTTTAAAACATACTTTCATAAGCAATATATTTTCCTAATTATTTAGGATTAGTTAATTAATTAATTATATATTTTATAACTAATTATAAATTCACAATAAAATTTAAACTTACTTTTTGAACACTTTTTTTTCCAGCCGGGCCCGTGGAGTATCCTGTTCTTTTTTTAAATTTGTCAAATTTGACCTTTGTTTTCKACTCTTTCTACTTCCTTTTTTAGGCATTGTAAGATCAACCCCAGTTTGACTCTATACAAATAGATAATTGTTTACATTAAAATATTAATACAAAAAATTATTGCTCTTTACTGGAAGCTAATAAAAAAATAAAAATAAATTATTGCTCATCAAAACTACAAAACACATTCTACCTGTATATCTCTAAGCAGTTGTGGATCTTGCCAATCAGGTACATTCTGTTTTTTTTCTTTTTCCAAAATTTTTTTGTCTTCCGCATCAACAACTTGACCAAGCTCATCTCTCGGTACAATTCGCCCATGAAATGGACACTAAAAAAATAATAAAATATCATAACAATAACTTACAATTAAGTTTTAATGGTTGTATTTCATTTACCTTAAAACGGTCTTCTCTAGGGCATAATCTACCACTTGGCAATGGGGCTCTACACTGTCTATCAACTCTTTCGAATTTACCAGTAAATTCRATCACTCGCGTGCGTAAATTTTCAGATCCTCCTGGTATTACAATACCGTCACAGTCACTGTCCATTACAGAATTTGAAGTCCAAAAACTATGACCATCTTGATTTGTACTGAAAAATATGAAAAATATGAACAAGCATAATTGAAATTTGGGAATTTATAGAAATCAGTTTTATAAAATACACATATTCAAAAATGGTAATAGGTGAGTTTGTTTCAAATACCTAACCAATATAATGTACAAATTAATCGTCAACTCTATACTTATATGAATTGCATTAAGGCAGCTATGTATCTTTAGTTAATTTAGTTAGCAATTTTTCACATTAATTAGATTGATTTTATGTCGACAATGTAAAATAATAGAATGGTTTTCGTATAGAAGTAATTATGGTCAAACATGTTTACTACAGTTTCTATACATGCAAATTATTCTATTATTTTGAWATGTTGGATAAGCAAACCCACTTAATTTTTCTAACTATTAAAATACAACGGGGTGAAAACGTTTTTAGGGAGGGTTTAAATTGAATTCTCTATTCCCCCTATTTCACTCAYCTGATTCTGTATATAAAAGAGGTGAAATAATACATGTAGTTTTGCAAACATATATGATAATTTATTAATTTATTATTTTATTAATGTACACAAATTATTTGTCCAAATTATACCTAGCCAATACCAACTGGCATCGTGCCTAGAATAGTTAGCAAGTGCAGTGAAGAGAGGTAGATGTTAATTACTGGTGTCACAGGGAATTTTATAAATTCATAATATAAACATAGTCTATAATAACTACTGTCCGTAAACTACAGTAACTAATAAGTGAAAATAGTTTTTTTCAATGTAAAAATAGAAGGTTAACTTTTTTAACAGCATGTTTCCTCAAAATATCTCTGTGTACCACTGGTTTGTTGCGTTAATTGTTTTATATTATTTTATCTTTTTCTTTTTATTACATAAAAGTTAATATGGGTTTTTTTTAGTAATAGCTAATTCAATGCAAAAATTGCCACATTATCCGATTGGCACCAAATAGCGCACACATAATCTTTGAGACTCAGATAGCTTTGTTGTCCAATACATATAAGTTGACTATAAGGTTGCTCACACAAGACATTTGTTTTGGTAGATAAATTAAAACTTTTTTTTWRACACAAAATGAATGAATGTCAGTCTAGTTTATATACTCAACAACTACTAACTGATTTTGATGAAAATTTCAGATTGTTCTTGGATTTCAGTTAAATTTATAAAGTAGTAAAAACTACGTTTTTAAGTTAACCAACATCTCTAATTCATGTCCATCTAAGTGTTTTATACTTATTTATTTTTTCCCGGGAGTATTCGACGAATACTATTCGTGTTATACAGTGCTGGTCAATATAAGTCTATATAATGAAGAAAAATTGTTTGTTACAAATAATCTATAGAACCACTCAACTGATTTTAAAAATTGTTTTACCATCTATCCATATCATATTCCATAATATATAATACAATAATAACACAATACAGGGTGCGATCTATAAGAAATGAATATATTTGGTATTCAATTATATATTTATTGTATTGTACATTATACTACAATTACAAAAAAAAAAATATATCACCCAGAGGCCAGAGGCCAGATTAATTAGAAATCATGTAAAATAATATGTAGGTACACTGATATTAAGTATTTTACATAAAATAATCGATATAAACATAGCAATAACAAACTGCAAAATACAATCAATCGAACAGTTCAAAGAAATACTATAGACGATAAAAATAGTGTTAGGAATCGATGGCCTTGCTGCAAAACACACAAGTGTGCACGTGTATGTTTTTAACGATCCAAAAAGCTAAAACACACTATACACTTAACTATAAGTATATACAGGGTGTTCCCTGGTTTACCCATTGGCCGTAGAACGGAACTCGCCGCCCGGATAACCAATTTTTTGCCGTTTTATCTATAAACTAACAAAATTATAAAAAATTATGGGATTAATGAAAATAAAATATTTAAAGTTCAACATTTTCAGCGAAATAAACTCTATAAAATAGGTATCTTTTCAAAATTAAGAAATAATTTTTTTAAACTTTTTAAACTTTTTACCAAAAAATTTAATTTAACTAAAAACTAAAATACATGTAGCCTTTTTCAATGTRAGTCTAATAAAAAAAAAACAGATTTATGATATATTTATTATCTCAGGAGATATCGCAATGGGTAAATACTCGTAGGACACCCTGTGTCTAAACATAATATAAAAATACATTCAATATAATACTATAGTTTATTGTTTTATAAATAACACTTATTATGCTCATCAGTGAATGATGTTAACGTAATAATTCATGCTATAAATGTTTCACAACACGTTTGAACTATTAGAATAGATGTTTAAATTGAGTGATTCTGGCACGCGCATTGTAAAGAATATTAAACTTAAAAATTGGTGGGATTGGTTTTTTAACTGGCGGATCTCTAACTGGCACTCGCACTCACGTAATCGTACTTATCCATCACGTTCTCTTTTTTTTACTTAAGAAAAAAACGAAATTAGACAGCAATGCAATAGTTATAGGTACAGGAATACAGAATTTACCATCTGCGTGACTGTGTCAAACGATGAATTTTCGTTAAATARCATAGACCGCGTTTGAATGAAAAAATAATGTAAAAACTAAAAAGTATTTAATACATTTTTTAGACTTTAATGATTTGTAACTTATTCTAAAAGAACGCGTTCGTTTAGGGTAACTCGAACAAGCATTAAGGTTAGGTTATATAGGCGTATTATTTAGAAAAGCTAATTGTTTCTAACACAGTCGTTGATGCAACTCAGTGGCGTTGCGTTAATTATTGACAACTTACAAATGCTCCGAATACAATATATCATATCTGRCCAGTGACCACGGGGTACGGACATCGCATTGCTATTTATTTCAACAACATATAGATATTATATGGTATAATAGTGGTATACACATTTGTAGCGCTGTAGATTCCGATATTCAAAAGACTAGGTAGCGGCAACTCAATACTATTTTCCACTTTAAATTATTTTTCAATTCACATCCTTTGATTGTTATTGAAAAAACKGCAGGTCCTATGCTACTCCAAGATTTGATTTATAAAGACATTTTTCCTCTACGAATAATTATTAACACGGTTAATGATTTATTATTGAAAAATTATATAAAAAACAAACAAAAACGAGAATTCAAAACTATTATTGCACTTATAGTAGGTACCTATGATGTCCTATAGTTCCTATATTATGTCAAAAATAAATTAAAATTAGTCGATTCTGAAAAGCGARACAAAAAATAACCTAATCTAACCTAAAAAATAGCTCAACTTAATTCTACCTTATTTTCGAGACGAAATACAAAACTTCAGTTTTTCGTATTTTCTATCTTTTTTCTGGACAATTAAATTTATTCTTTTCGTCATAATACATTCAGTTTTTCTAGTTTGCTTTTTTTTTTTGCGGTCTTACTCTATTGAAAAACTGCATATACTCTATTATTGGTTGACGTAATTTTGTGTTCAACCKAATACATTCTTCTTATCTCGAAGTATTCCCTTGACAGTTTTTCCGTATATCCTACAAATGAGACGTATCGATTTTATTTGCATCAAAAACAAATACTAATTTTTTTCCATTTGGAAGACTGTACATTATACTACATAGGTACTATATATTATACGATAATTGACGGCGAATAAACGATACGGGACCGGATGGCAGTATTGTGCTAAACATTTCCCATCCGTTCCTGGTTTTTTGAACGGGGAAAAAAAAAGGTACTATATAATATTATACTTTACGTATAATTCTGTATTTTTTGTTTTTTAGTTTACGGTATAGTTTAAAATTGTTATGACCAACTTACGGATTAAATATTTTTTAATTAAGTCTAAATAATCAAAAAAAAGTAAATCGCGATAATATTTACGGTAAAATACGAGGAGCTGAAAGTTGTTCGTCTTCCCAGTGATACAGATCGATGTCGAACGGTAACTTTGGCACAGCTGTGACACTTTTTCGATTGTCATCTCTCTCCGAAACTTTTGTGGAGTCAGCGCGATCACTGCCATCATTTTGAATCTAAAAATAACGTAAATGAGCCTATATATTTATTTTTCTACATTGTAACAATATATGACATAATTTCACCGAAGAGATTATACTAGTTTATGTACATTATAATCCGATTTAGCTAAATATTGAGCCAAAAGATCATCGGCGGACGATTGAGGGAGGACTTCTTCCATGTCCGAGTCGCTAGAACTATCATCACCATCTTCATAGTACAYGATTTTATTTTCTCGGCTCGTCAGGTCGGTTAAACGACGCTTGAGTTCGATCGTTCGTTTCAAGAGTTCTCCGTCTATTTTTTTTATAAGAGAGAAACACAATATTAAAACTAGACCAACGCTATATAACGGACATACACATAATATAAATTATGTTTTCGATAATTAACAGCTATAGATATATAGATGATGTCTTTGTATGAGTTTGACACTGATTCGTCATAACAAATTATCGTATTCACAATAATTTTAAATTTCTATTATTCACCATAATTTTTTTATTATTGTAATTTATTATTTTTTGAAATTCTTTTGTATACGTTTTTACATCATTATTCATGTATTATTTATAATTAACCATTGTATTCTATTATTTTATGATATTTCTAGGTATATTTGTACGCTTTTTAATTTATTTTAATAACCATGATGGACACACGAGTGTTCTAGGCGAGACTCAGTATAATTAAGAGAAATATTAAATAAATTAGTAAATAGATTATTATATCAGCTGATAACTAGTACTAACCTATAGAGGTGTATTCATAAATTAAGATAATGAAAAGACAGAATATTAAACTATACCTAGACCCCCTTTGCCATGAATAGTAACTCATATATATGTATATATAAATATATTACTCGAAATTTTTGCTATGTCTTGTAGCAATTTTTTAATTTTTGGCAAATACTTGTCGGATATGAGCTTCACTTGTTCGTTTGAGCTTTCGATTATAGCCAAATTGTCTTCGGATTTCTTCACCCTTTTTCGGAAATCTAAAATATCCAATGAAGGAAATCAAATACAAGCTTCCAATAAAATATACACCAGCTGAAAATGTGAAATTCGATAAATGTAATAATCACCCGGTCTCAGTGTGACTGTCACAGTGTGCGCGGCTGGGTCGATTATGCCAATTTCTCTCCATCTTTCATTTTCATCATCCGACTCAGTCTCGGCGACAATTTTCTGTCCGGGATCCGTCGACGACAATTTCGAAGGGGTCGACGACAATTTCGAAGGGTTCGACGAAGGGACAATGTCTTCCTCCACTTCAGGTATAGAAAACTCTTCCGGAATGGGAATTAACAATTCCAGACAACTTTCCAGGGTTTTAGCCACGACCATTATTTCCGGTTCGAGTTCTGAGCAAAAATTAATTTATTCAAACACATAATTATAATATATATGTATGTACTAAATACATTATTCTTAACAGCTAATTCATTTATTCAAGGTTAATTTACTGGTATAAAATAATACATAATATAGACATATAGTGTTCACCATTTATTTCCGACTCAATTTTTTTCAATTTCTCATCATTCAAACGTCGTTGTCGCTGTTCCCTGTCCTCCACTAGTCTCGCGCTGATAACGGACCGCACGGTCATAGATTCGAAATCAATCTGAAACGGTATGCCCCACATATAAACATATTATAGTTTAAAAACAATATTAAATTATTATAATAATTATTGGCTAATGTATTATTGAATAGTGAATGAGGTTCGATGAATATATAAGATGTATGTAATAACTATTATACATTTATAGCAATAATATCATGACAACCTACTTTTTTGTACTTGCTCAAATACTTAAACACAAAATTAAATTCATCTTTAAAGTCTTTTCCGAACTCGTCGTTCCATTCTTTGATGCACCTAATGGCGTAAATTTCCAAATCYGTAGCGAATTTTTTAGGTGGGGGCAACGTTCGTCCGGCGTCTGTGTTGACAGTAAGTTTTAGGAGAACTGAGATATCGACAATTATTAATTTTCTAAAATGTTCAAATTTCCTAAAACAAATGACATAATTATAATATAATTGGATTATTGTCTAGTTACTGATCTATAATGACTCTAGTACAAATAAACAACAATTTATAATACATAAACGATAAAAGTAGATTTAGTAGGTTTACCAAGTATAGGTAACAAAATAACAAAAACGTCTAATACATACTTAAAAAGACGATTACAAATTCGGAGCGCATTCAAACGAATCTGRGAATGTTTTTCTTTGAGTTGATGAAATAGTAATACATGAACTCTGTCGATGTAAATTGAGGATTTTCTAAAAAATTTCCATATGTAAATTAAGAATTAAATTAATAAATTCTTATATTTGTATAATATATTTAAATACAAATAACATACTATTTACCTAATGGCTACCGCAGTAAAAACGCAAAACTAATTCAAATTAAAACTATATTATAGTTTAATCTGATAAACTCATTTACTTGATACTATATAACCTCCACCATTTCGTTTTCGAACTATATGTTAACAATAAACGAAACTACTCATTATATTACTCTACTTTATTTATTATAAAATTGTAATATTATTTCCGTAAATAAATTATTATATTGTAATCTATAGCATTGTACATTTTTTGTATTATTGTATTATATAGCAATAAATAAAAAACTAAAATAATAAGAAATTATATTTAAATAAACCGTATATATAATTATAGTATAATATACTACATAAAAATAGCAAAATTTTAAAATTTATGTCAGACGTAAAAATTCTGCAGTTTCACTTAAAACAACATMAAATAAGTCGATTGGCCAGAACGACTTCACCACATAAATGGCCAAGGAACTTGAGCAAATAAGAATCCATGAAATTACGGTTCATCTACATTCTACGTGGTCATTTGATGATCCCCACGGCCCACATTCATTATATACTTAAATTATATGCAACAGAAACCTGTCTACAAAAAACAAAAAAAAAACATGTAATGGGCAAAACTCAAACTTAATGTAATCCTGCCAACAATCGAATATACCTATAGGTTATAAGTATATTATAAGTGTCTATCATTACTATCATTACTTTTATAACTATCATTCAGGCAATTATATTTATAATAATTGGCTTAAACTTTATATAAATATATATATATATATATTTGTCTTTTTATAACATATAACATAACAATCATTAGATTTATCTAAGTACACACACACACATAACATATATATATATTTATGAATCAATATTACGTTACGTATATATACGTCCGTTCAAGGTATAGATAATAATAATATTATTAATTGAAGATAAAAAATGTCAAAGCATCCTAAAAATAGCATTAAAAACGAATTAGTTATTGACACACATTACATTTGTACTTATTTAAAAGGTAATTTAAAAGAGTGAAAAGCTAAAAAAGGCTTGAGCGAGAATATGAATGTTAGTACCTATCTACCAATGCGACGAATGGCAATGTCCAATATCCTAGTATACCARAATTTTAAACCTACACAGTCGTCGATCAATACATTATAAACACGAATATATATTTTTTAACCAGTTATCCGTGAGTGATTTTTGATAATGACATATAAATGTATAATATAAACATAGTATTTTCCAAAAACATCGTAGTATTCGGCAGTCGAGTTTATAGGTACTAATATTCATATGTCACCACTGTGTAAATAACGCGTACCACTTAACTTCTATAATAATTAATTATAATATCACTTATTTAGCGTTCTCTGATAACTTAAATTCTGTTGATACGAACATAGGTAGTGCAAAAAAAAATGTAAAATCTACAGTGAATAAGATATAAAAAAAAACTATATACTTAAAAGTTAAAAKAAATMACGAGCCTATTATATTTTAAACAAATTCATGAACTTATATTTTAAACCAATTAAGTTTTTGAGAACATTGAGAGTTGTGACCTGTACAGCTTTATTGGGCTTTATTATTTATGGCAGTATAATGACTAATTGGGCGTGTGGGGAGATCATGTGTTATCAATAAAATTTTGTCATAGCATTTGGCACTTATTATTTCAAATTGTCAGCAAATCTTAACATCAATAAACATCAATGCGTGTAAGACGTATGTAGTTTTGTTATACATACCTATAGGTACTTATATTATGCACAATATGTATAATACTGCAATAGTAGTTATTATTAGCTATATAATAATACCTAATATATTGTTTATAGTGCTCAATTGACCATGAGCTTATGACTTATACATTTATAATATAACTGGTTACATATATATTTATATATATATGTACACGTGACATGGGTATCAAATGTAATAAGGAAATGCACGACGGATGCACTGCAAATATAATATATATTATATCCTCTCGATTGAATCAAGCGTAAAAAATAAAATGATAGGTAGTAAAAAAACATTTACACTTTTAACACTCGTTATACCGTCGCAGTTTGACAGCTGGTACAGGCCTATCGAACTACTCACTCGAAATCCTATTTAGATACGAACATCAACATTGTCAAGAAAGTMATCCGGTGAACGGTTGCCTTTTGACCGGAAAAAAAATGGTTCTCATTTAAAAAGAAAAAGTATCGCCTTAGAAGAATACTCCTTAAATGGTACAAAACAATGTAAGCATTTGAGAACATTATACTCCTTGTTTARGTACCTGTAACGACATGAAAATCCTAAAATCAGAATTTGAATGGCTGCATWCGAATTGCGTCCTAAAATACGAAAATATACATCGCGATATCCGAATTGCGTCCGTGGTTTTTGCGCAACACATCTGAGTTGCGTCCGCGATTTTTCGCGACATATACGATTTGCGTCATGGTTAATAATTGATTAATTGGTTAATAGTATACATATTTTCCTTCCCATTTTTACAGACCGAATGCTGTCATTTGTATAAATGGTGTGGTTAAAAATACATTGTAATTAATAATTATATGTATATTAATGAGTCAAATAATTTAGCTATATGTCCTAATAATGAGATTGGACGATAGTTTGCAACATTCGACTTATCACCCGATTTATAAATAGGTTTTACAGTGCTAAGTTTTAAAATATCAGGATATATTCCTTCATCTAAGGATTTACGAAACAAAAGTGACAGGATAATAGGATAATACTGATTTTAACATATACAAAAATTCAGTGTAAACAGAACTAAACTGCTTAGCGAACAAATCTGAAACTTCTTTATCATTAGAGCTAGTTATATCATTAAAATGAACTGTTTTTGGTATGGCATTGCTTGATTTATTTTTCTTTATAAATTTACAAAATACTTTGGGATTAGCACAGAGTTTTGATTCAGTACATTCAATAAACTTTTTATAACAGTTTTTTGACATTAGTTTATACTTAGGACGAAGCAAAGAAAATTCACGATAGTTGARAGGGTTACGAAAAGACTTAAAGATTGCACGGGCTCTTCTCTTTAAGAAAACTAAATCAATTAGGTCCTTGGAAAACCAAGAAGRAAAATTAGACTTAGTATAATTAACATGAGGAACCCATTTCAGAATAGAAAAATGTAAAGCATCATAAAAAGTAGACATACCTAGAGCTAAGTTAGCATCAAGATTTAAAAAAGTTCGTAATTACTCGTATCATCTCAAAAAGTATTATTTTATATTATTTATTATTATATTATATTATATATTATATTATATTATTATATTATTTTAACCGATCTGTAATTAGTTACAGAGCCCAAATCGGATCTGCAGTTTACAGGTCCGGTAGCCGATAATTTACAGAGCCGGTAACTTTACCGAGCGTTCAAGCAACACCTAATTTTATTTACAGATCCGTTAACGTACTTACAGATCTGTAAGTAGTTACAGGACGTTTATGCAACCCGCCCTTAATATTTTAGAAAATATCTTGACATAATAAACTAATTTATTATTATATAATTCAGAGTCATTTCAAACCAAATTTTAAAAGTTTTTTTACAATTTTAATAACACTTGGCAATTTTTTTGAGATTTTACTTTTAACGATAGCAGCGTACATTTTTAATTTCATGTCCAAAWGCAAAATATTTTTCTTGGAATTCCTACGAAAAATCTAAATTTAATGACTAGTTCTATTATTTAAAGTTCATCCAATGGGAATGAATGGGACACACAGGGTTACCCACTAATCCTAAAAAATACTGGTATCATCCTTGAATATAGTATAATTCTTATGACAACTCCACTCACCTAAAATTTAAAATATTTTAAACGACAAAATTCTCAGGAAAATATTCAGCTTTGAATCATGAAATAAAAATAAACATAACTGGTAGTTCAAAAAAGTAAGAAACTTAAACAATTATGACTTATTTTTCAAAAATGCTTTTTTATTAGGTACATCAAATTATGTAGAAAATATTATTTTCAAAAACGTTGAATTTTTGAATAATAGGTTTTAATATTGATACCTAATATACCTATATTATATTATTAATTGAATCGGAGACATATACGATAGGCGCTACTGTAAGYACACAAAATCCGGATCAATACCTCGATTATTGTTATTATCGCTAAATGTCTATATATTATATTATATAATATACTTACTACCTTTYGATAGGATGTTAACAGACCACTGTTCKGCAGCTACAAAGCCTTAGATCATAGCATGCTAAATAAATATGCTGTACATAATGTCCAGGAATCAATAAAGTTGACTGTCTACTGTCTACAATCTATACCTTATAATTTATCTTATRTTATTTCCGGTTTCAATATTTATTTGTGTTACACATAGGTCCGTTGCCCAGGGTGGGCACCCTAATACAGGGTGTATTAGATGGAGAATTCGTTTCCTATATCTACCAGATATTATACTATTATACTCCCCATCAGTGGTTTGTTTAAAAATTATATTTTAGTCTGTCATCGGAATATGATATTTGAACGGGCGTCCTGACCTGGCGACTGTTCGAATTATCTACCTTGGTCCTTGATACCTATAGTGTAAACGAAAACCACATTTTTTGGCCATAAATCGCAATATTAAGAACACAATAAACTTAAAGATTAGATTTTTTTCATTATTAAAATTGAAAATAATTATATTATACATTTATACTCTATGCTACAAAAATATTCTTAATACAAGTAGTGAAGGAGAGGATTACCTATAGTCTATATTATATAAATAACGGAAAAAAATTGTAACCTTCCTACGTGGGTGATTATAATTGTATGACAATGACAAAAGTTAAATAAATTATATTATACATTATATGCATACAAATATTGTTTTTGGAGAAAAGGGTAGGTACTCTAATGCTCTTCAGAAAAATTAAGTAATAACCAATATAGGTAATTAAAACGATGTACAATACATTATGGCAATTTAAATTTTCACTGAAACAACTGTTGTTTATCAAAGGATATCTGAAACTCAATTAATATACAGACGCAGTTTTTGGCAACAGTTAATAATTGTGTTAGTAGGTACTTTTCCTGCCTATAGCGTTCCGGACTTAATTAAAACGTGCCGACTACAGAATGTAATAATTATAATATAAAGTAAAATATGCACTGTGAATTCTATATTCTACTCAATGTCTATATACCTATCATACGAGTCATACGAAATAAGTGCCCCGCCACTTCAAAAAAATATCAGTCATATGTATAATAGTAATATGAAGGTAGAATAAATATAAATATAAGTATAAATATAATAGGTATAATATAATAATATAATATAATATAAATATAAATATCAGTGATATGTAATAGTAATATGTATATACACATACTATATACATCAGTACAATATTCCCAGCATTATATTGAAAATCAAACACGATTGCACAATAATAAATCCTAATGTGTTAAAATAATAAGTAATAGCCTATTACAGTGTGTATTATAGTATTTCACATTTTCGCAGAGAGTATGAAACGTATATATCCACCTACGCATAAATGTATAATACGATATCACATTTCGCGCCTATATGTCATAATACCCATTACTCATAATAATTAATGTTATGTATTGATAAATCCGTATTTGTCTGATTAGAAATAAAACAATAATCCCATAGGATTTCCATTTTCAATGAAAAACGAGAATACATCACTACGCGCATCTATTAAGAATCGGGTCCCAAAAGAATTTTTAGTTATTTTATCCTTTATCATACAACAACCATACCCATTGTCGGTTAGAAAATAGGATTAAACACATTTTGTCAAAATTAATCCTACGTGATATGAAATACGTCTACGTCCACCCATGCATATTCYATATTTATACGATTATATTTTTTTTCGGATTAATACATATTGTGTAACAACGAAATATATTCAATTATATTATGAATTATATTTCGTAACTTTTGCTTTAGCAATTTTTATAATAAAGATCACATTTTTGTTTTTATAAATTATTTCCGTAGTTCCGTACATTTTTACGAGTTAAYATTTACAATTATAGATTCTTCGGAATGGTGCGAGTAACTATAGTAAGCAATAATTAATTGTAATTGTTAATTATACAGTTTTCTCGGGTAAAATCATAATGAATGTGCGCCCTGGAAATGTTGTCTTGTACAATTGTACATCAATCGATCGAAAATTAACTGACGATTTTCCGCAGATACTAAAAATATCCAACAGACACCAAAATGCCAAACAGTTTTGGTTAATATAAATTAAGTTTCGATGACCAAGCTCTACTAAMAATAATTATTCAAATGCATTCAAATTTATTATGATGGTTCAATACTGTACTATAGTTGCACCACTTGCACCAACAAAGTTCTCAATATTGAAATAGAATATTTTATATTTAACTGCTAAAGCCCCTGCTAAAGCTGTATCTATATAAGAATGAATTATTGTGTACCAATTATCTTACTTTTACAYACTTTTATAGATATTATAAATTATGAAGTATAATATAATATACACGCCACTATGAGTACCTATAAAATATTTAATAAATAGGTATGTTATAATAAAATATATCTTACAATTGTATGAATCATTTATATTAATATAGGAAAGATACAAAAAAATATAGCAGCAGAMATTTTTTTTGTAGATTTATATTTTTATTAACCACAGTATAGTATTGATCACAAAAATTTGAATTATAAATGGAAATGGTATAAGGTAATATTATTATAAGCTGTTGATACCTAATTGTTCTAAAAAGCCACGCTTTAAAGCTAAAAACATCACTTAAGTAAACAAATAAATATTTAATACAATATAATTAAAGATGGTATATACTTAATATGTATAACTGTGTATATAATAAATTAATATAAGTTAATAGTTTAATTATGTCAACCAAAAGTAATAGGTAACCTTGTAATCATTGGTTATTATTATTTATTATGTTTTTTACAATATTATTTTACATTCTACTCCAAAAGTTAATAAGTTTCATACAAATGAAACATTACAGTCACATACAAATCATTTCATACATTAAAATAATTATTTTTAAACATAAAGAGTAATCAACATAAAAATTAGGATTTACATATTTTATTTAGGTAGCAACTTCAAGAGTGTATCCACCTAACAAAATAATGTCAACAGATATTGCTTTTAATATTTTTAAATGATATGTATTTGAATTATTTTTAAGCATATGCATAAGAGCAAATATCTGAGGATTATTACTGTATAATAGTTGTCATATAGGTATACTAGGTATACCTCAATACCTTAGTTTCAAATCTAGATTCAAGTATCGTGCATACAGGCATTTGAAAAAAATAWTATTTTCTCACTTATGTATTAAATAAAAACTATTGATGTAAATAAATGGTGATTAATATAACTAAATTTAATTTTAGTTAAGGTTTGGTTAAAGCCCCACCGTCAAAAAAAATTATCTTTTCTTGCTTCACCCTGTTTTGCAAGTTAATTTAAACCAAAGCCACATATTATAATACTTGAAATTAATTTGAAAAATGTATTAAGWAGTAAGGTGTTTATTTAAAAGCTTGACAAAATGCTTAATATAGGTATTTATATTGTGTAAAATTAGCTAAGCAATTATTCGATAACTCATTTTCTTAAAAAAAAAAAATAATAACAAATTTAATTTAATTATTATATTGTACATAATATTTATGATTCATTCTGTTTGAAATTATTATATTATGATTCTTCGGATTTTTTCATTAGAAAAACAATTTAATTATGCTCATAAAAATGCTACAAACTATGACATTAGGTATAATACATCTATCTACAAACTATTTTGATACAATAATTTTAAAATTAAGATTTGGACTTAATACCACACAACAGGTATACATTATTCTATGAGGTTAATAATATTAACCATTTCAAAGGACTAGACTGTTAAAATATTATAAACCTATAAAAGTGAACTTTAATTTTATTTACAACCAACATGAAAAATTAAATTAACATGCATCTTATTTTAAAACTTATTTTCAAATAAAATTGTATGAAAACCATATTTTAAAAATATATCTGGTTAAGATTAGTTTATTGAAATTWAATAGAGAACAGAGAAGAATAGAATATATAAATACTGATGTAATTTAAATAAGTCTAAATTTGAAATATTTGTGCTTTATAAATTAATGTATAACATGTTTTATACAATACATAATATAACCTTATTATTTAAAAAAAAAAATAAATAATAACAATCAACAACAATGACATTGTCACTGTCAGTTTAAGATTCATACATCAATTAGACATTGCATTTGATTATAATTTTTAATAAACAGTACCAAAATTTTGACAAATCCAATTGTTAGTAGTGACAAGTAAAAAAAATTTTTAATAATTTAAAAAAACCCTGTCAATAAAAGTTAAGATCATAGAATATTACTGGTTATGTTATTCAACTAACTATGTTTATCTTAATATTACTTTCAACATATAAATCACAATACACACAGATAATTTGCCTATTAATTATTACACATTATTTAATTGCATAAATTATTTAACAATAGTTCAACTTAACATAGGTATTTAAAATCTTATACCTAATTCTTCGATTGTCAAAACATAATTGAAAAATATAAATTGCTTAGATGTTTGGTAACCTAAAGAATACTACATGCAGTATATTAGCAACCTAATGCCATGGTATGAATAATCTACATATTAAAAACAAATATGTACTGGCCGTTATAACAAAACTAAAAAATATAAAAATTATTCACAAAAATAAACAAAATTATTATTGTTATAAATAAAAAAAATTTAATCGTTTTGGCACAAAAAAAATTAAAAATGCTGGTGCGCTGTATATTAGAGTACCTATTAATAAGTWTAATTAAACTACCTATAAAATATATTTTAGGTAGAAACTAACTCAATTTATAGGCTTGGATAATATTATAGACATTTTAGCATTTTGGATAGTAATTTATATTCATATTTAAGATATTTCAAAGAAAAAATATATAACATTAAAAATACACTAGAAAGTAAATTAAAATATAATCGATTCGATGTTTAACGATTAGAGGAATGTTAAAACTACTTGTGTAAAACATATATTAAATAAACTTTGAATGCGCACTAATGCAATTGTAAAAAAGTATTAATAATAAAAATAATAAAATAAATAAACAAATGTCCAATAAATGTTTTAAAGATTATTTTATTTTAATCCTAATAGTGTCATCAGTTATTTTTTATATGGTAAGTACCTACTCAATAAATTTTAGATTACTAAAAACAACAAATTCCCTAAATTTTAGCTACTAAATAAATTAAATGCCTACATAATAATTACTATCTAAATATTTGTATTTGGTTTTAATAAAAATTACAGGTATATAATATTAAATTAGTAGTGMATTTTTATGTAATTTGGTAATATTTAATAAAGCTACAAAAATAATATTAAAGTCTATTAGAGTATTGAATACTTGACATTAAAAAATTTATAAATTGAATTCAATGATAAATCTTAGCCCAACCCTTGGGCTCTAGATAATTAGATCAATGTTAACAGTATTGCACATACAATTAAACAATTTTTATAATTGCATTGTATCCTTTTAACAATTTTCAGATAAATCAATTTCTATCAAWTTTAGGAATTTTCATGATTTCCATTGGTCTATACAATTTAKRTAGACCCACTGTGATTCCATTTGACAGAAACTTTCAGTAGATGTATTATTAACCTATTCTCAAGACTGAATAATGAAATAATTCATGAATTCATCCAGATTTACATGGTAATTCCAACTAATCATTACCAGCTTTTAGTCGTAAACGAGCAAAATCTTCAAAAATTATATCTTCATCATGAGATGGTGCAGGGCCATCTTCATCTAATTCAATCAAATTATCTACGCGTACACCATTATCATCAACCGCTGTACCACATATTGCAAGATTATTGGTTATTGGAAGCACTTCCTCTTCAGGCTTGGGGTGCATTAAAATAAATGGAAGTTCAGCTGTCAATTCTCCTGCTAAAGCACCCAGGCATAGTTTTACCTTCACTTTGTATTGAACAATAATTCCTAGGTTTTCTTTTTGTGAAGGATTGCTCACTATTGTTGAAGAAGCAAGGTTTGTATCTTCATGCTTTAACTGACCATCCAAAGCTAAGCCACGTTTATCTTTGTTGTTATGCAAAGTAGGTTTTACTGTGTATACTTTAGACAAAGTGAAACCAGGACCAACAGGGCAACCATCTTCACTCTCTAGCTCAGCAACAGTACATTTATATTGGGCAGTTGAAAATAGACATATATCGGCAAATTGTCTTACAAACACTTTTACTTTTTTTACAGTTCGGTTAGAATTGTTTGCTATGTGGACATTTACTGATATACTTTCCCCATGGTAGTAAAGCTCTTTGTCCAAGGATGCTTCTAAGTATAACTTGTTTGGGCTCATAACAAATTCTTTGTACACTTCAACAGATGGTTGCACTTCCTCTTTTTTTGGTGCATACATAATTTTTCTAATGGCCAGCCTTATTGAATTTCTCTTGTGAGGTTTGTCTTCGGCCGTATCGCCAACAAACGCTTTGAACTCATAGTCTACTCCACACGGTTTTCCTGTATCACCCGCAGCTGGTTGCAGCGTAACAGATGCTGGGCAATGTGGAGGCAATTCAAAATAAAATGGTATGGCATTTGGRCCAAGTTTCTTGATCAAACGTTCTTGTAGCCTAGTCGGAGTACGTATATTTCCAACAGGATATATTTGATCAGAGGCTATGTAGAGATCTTTTCGAAAAGTCAAGCCCAGTACATCCAAGTCTTCACGACCATATCGGAAAGCAGCTAAAACATGACCAAACACCTTTCTTCCTTTGACGTAATCAGGATCGACCAATACTACACCATCGATAGGGTCGACATTGGTGATGTGGTCAACGAAATCCCTCTTGCCCAAGTAAACAGTTATTTTACCATTCGGTGAGCTCTTCTTAAACACCCTGGTTGGCTGTCTAAGATTGCCTCGGGCSGCAGAGTCTGATTCACCATTATTCTTATCCATAATTGTTTTAATAGGTATATCAGGTAATATTTTAATGTACTAATTTAATATCAGTTATCAAACGATTATGACTATTTACAATAGCTGCTAAACAGGGTGACGCTCAGGATTGGATTGACGGTGCAGCATAGTGACATGTACGTTTTTATAGAATAATACTACGAAACAACRTTTAAGGTTTCCAGCGTGTTACCGAAGATTATTCGTTRGAGTTACAAGARTAATATAATGTCGTTATGGATGGTGGTGGTGCTAGTAGTAGTGGTGGTGGTCGGCAGTAATAATAGTAGTAGACGATATTATTATTGTACGAGTTATATTTTTGAGCGTTTTCGACTTAAGATTTTGACACTTACTTGCAGATGTTTTCAATTTCGTCGAACAACTTGCAATCGACGTCGTTTTCACCGGTGCTGGTCAAACGTTCGACGAGTTGCGCTGCTCGGCTGGCCGTACCGTAGTCCAGCGTCATGCTAAGCCGGCGCCGGATTTCAGTGTGAAGAGTATGTTGCCTCAGTACAATCGTCTGACGCGTATGGTTGGCGCCAACGACGACGGTCTGTCCGGACGACGGAAAGCTGAGGTGACGACGACAACGTAGTAATGGACAGAAGTGGTGCGATTCGGCGGTCACCTGGTGGTTAGTATAGTTACCACTCACTGGTTGTCGCGACGACGAACGCTCGAACGCTGAAGACGTGCGACAGGCGACAGCGATAGTTCAGCGACGATGAACGAACGCGTCATCGGTGACGAGTGTTCGCGACGACGGCAACACCTACGCGACGATTACACTGAAAATCGATTCGTAATAATAACAATATGAGTCGTCTCGCGCCGTCGAATCGTATTGCGTTCGATATTACAAAACAATTTATTGTTTACTAATCTGTTATTAAATATTACTCATTAGAACAATATTACAGCACAATATAGGGCGAGATGATATAATAAATAATAATAATAATAATAATAATGTATTATATATTATTATCAACTATWCTCAGTCGGTGTCTGTGAAGTACGAATAGAGTACGATACTACGATGTTTTCCGTTCCGCGCTCGAATAATAATAATAATAATAATATGATAATATGCGACTACTACAGCTGTACGATTGGCGCTTGCGACGCTTGCGTTTGTTGTGTGCGCGCGCGCAACGAAAATAAGTGATTACTGATTAATACGCGATTAATAAGTGCACGCGTGCGGCCTATAATAATTTTTAATTTTTATGATTTAATTTCATTAATATCTTAATATCAATAATGCCATTAATCTATTTACCTCTATTCTCTATATTATTTACGTGGCAATATTTGGTGTTCATACCATATAAATATATTTATATGTCTATGGTTCATACGATTCCTCCTGCCAACTGATCATCATAATACACGTCGCGCCTCACATTCCGCACACACTCTAACGAGTCACGATCGTAAACCTTAAATTATTGTCTATTAACATATTATGTGATATTTTTGACGAAAAATGAAAATAATAATTCGACTCATCATCATAATTATATAAGTATGTGTGCTATCGTATTTTTGATAATAAAATAAATAATACTATGAATACCAGTATAAATTATAAATCATGTGAATGTATCTATATGGTGTATTATAATTATATATGTAATTGTATTTGAATTTTTAAATGTTAGGGTTTTAGTTAAAAAATCAAATCCTAAATTTGATGTGCTATTTCAGTACCCTCGCAAAACTATTTAATTCCAAAAATTTCATATAATCCYTCAAAACTTCAAGGTTATGTTGCTCTTGATATCCTGTTATAATAAGTACTAATTCATATTGGGACAATAATAATATTTGAAAATATTGGAACTACCAGAATTCAAAATACGCATTTTTTTTATCGTTCATTAACTTTAAGTATTATAAATTTATAATACAGTTAGGTACATAGAATAATATGGGCTTTACAAATCCTCTGATCGATATTTTAAAAATAAATAATTGATAATTTAATATATAAAAAGATTTAAGGATAAATGATGTATCAGAATTTGAAATTTAAAAAAAAAATTGTTATTTTTTATAATTTCATATAGGTATTTTAATATCGATAAGATTACTTCTTAATACTTAAAGAGATTTTTACGTTTTTACGTTGTCGCACATGATTCCTCCTAAAATCGATATTCCGGTTACACATGGACACAGTCACACAGAAGACGTAAAGATTAAATAGTATCGCACTATCGCAGTATACTCAGTAATAGTGTCGAATCGACGTTTCACCATATTATCAAACTGCCGAGTTAAAAAAGCTTTAAACTAATTGTTACTTTTTAAGAATTACTCAATTACGTACTTATATAATATTAATATTATTAAAGTAAATCTTAAATCGTTCTACCATGCTGATTACAAAATAATCTCAAATTTTTAACCGGCGGTGACACTTTTTGTTTTCACCAATAATATTAAATTGTTGTCACTATTGTTTATTAATATTTAATTATTATCTACTTTGTAATTGATATATAAGTTACTGGTTGTGATAGTTGTTATTACCTAGAGTCTAGTGTTGTACTTGTACCTACAACTGTAGTTGTCGTCCACCACGTAGTACCTACGTTTTGTATTTGTTCACAACATTGGTATGTATGATGTATCAACATAATGTATACTATCTAATTACAGTATAATTGACAGTAATTATGCACTAGTACGCATTAAATTTGGTATGCAAATTAAGAACCGTGCGAGTTAACACTTAATGTTGATGTTTTATGATTTAAAATCGGTGTAAGATCAACAGGTGATTATTGTCAATAGATACATAATAATCGCCTATAGGTATTTGGTTAATTGTATTATTCGTAATTCATATTAATGTCGCATATATTTTACCAGCTGATTTTCGAAATCTTGAAATGTCATTATTATTGTTACCTTAACTAACATTTTATCTAAATAACCAATTTTCAAAATATTTAGAGTTTTAACTTTGTAGTACTTAATTTTTGCTGGGCACTGAAAAAAAAAGATTACATTTAAGTTGTTCCATAGAATTCAAAAATGTATGATAAATTTAATGTTAGTAAATCAAAAATATCCAATGATTAATAAAAAATTAAAGAATCAAAAATATAATATTTATTTTTATACTTAAACACAGATTTTGGGATTTGTATATTATATATTTCATTTTTTTGCGTATTTTAGTGCATAATATTATGTTGTTCAACATATTTCATAAAAAATACTTCTGAAATTTTTTTTTTATATCTAAATATTGATGATACTTATTAACATTGTCATTTGTACAGATATAAAAAATGCTGTCATTAATAGATCCACGATTTGAATGTTCTATTTGCCTTAACTGTCTAAAGGATCCAATGCTGACAAGATGTGGACATCGATTTTGTTCCGAGTGTATAAGTACATGGCTTGAGTAAGTTAAAACAAATTATGTATTACATATTATATATTTATTTGTTTAGCTCTTGTATTAAAGATCATAATGTATTAAACTATAGCTTTATATAAATTTCTATAATGTTTGTAACATCTTGGATTACTGACATACTATTTTAATAAGGACAATTGGATGGTTTTTCATAGCTTATTGATTTTTTATTGGTTCACCAGCATAGTTAAACAATATCTTGCTTCCTCATGATGAATAACAACTTTATGAAAACTTTTAAAAAGTATTTATTGCACTAAGCTTAAAAAATAGCAACTTCTAACTCCAGTCATTATGTCAACAAAAACTATTATGACTATGCAATTGGTGTGGTGATAACAGACACTAGAGAGATTGTGATTGTGATGATAGCATTGTTGTCTTTCAGCTACATATTCATCACTTAATTAAAATACACACATGTAATTTTTGTTGAGGTTCCATATTTTGTTATTTTACAAACAATGTTTAATGAATAAAGAAGTTACATATATTTTAATTGTATTCATTACCTATCTAATGTTAAAATTATTTTTTTAATTTTTTTAGGCGTAAAAGTCAAATATGTCCAATTGATTTATTACCTCTGACTATAGAAGGTTTATTTCCTGATAACTATACAAAACGAGAAATAGATGAGCAAAAAGTTACTTGTTTAAATACTGGTTGTGATGTAATAATACCATTGTTAGAAGCCGATCAACATTATGCCTCATGTGTATTTAATAAAAACAAAGTAAGTTTGTTCTATGAAAGTTTACTTTATTATTATTAATTTTCTAGAAGTGTCTACTAAAAGTTTTAATTTGTTTTAATTAGTCATACATTATACATTTATATCTTATTAAAATATCAAATAATTTTATACATAAACCAACATTGAGAAAATGTTAAATTAAGATTTATACTCAAATCAAAGAGAAGTCATAAAAATATATTAATTTAACTGTTGTAAAATATAGGTAAATGGACCAGCTGATAATCTTTGTCCATTTCATTTAATTGGATGTAAGGATACAATAAAAGATAAAAATGAATTATCAAACCATCTTGTTATGAGTGTGCATCGACATGTTACTGTAAGTTAACAAAATTAATACCTCTATTTAAGATAAAATATTTCTATTCTTGTATTTATTTCTAGCTGCTTACAAAATCTCATATTGATTTCATGAACAAATTTCAAATTAGAGATGGTGCTCATTCTAAAGCTTTAGAAGCTACACAACTGTGGGATGCAAATAAAGATCCTAATTCTGAAAAAGCTTTACTTTGGTCAGTTATATATTTATTCATTAAAATGTTATTTTAATTTAAGAAAAAAAAAGGCAGAAACATTATAAAATATAAATTATATTATACCATACATTTTAATATGATAACAATGATACAATACTAATATTTTAAAGTAAATTTAGTAAAAATTAACTAACAGTAGTTACTGAAGATATTTTTATATTTGAGCCCTTATTAAGCAGAACAAAAATTGTTCTCAAATTTAAAATATACAACTTAAATAAGTGTGCCTTACTTGAAGTTTCTATATTTTACCCTCTTACTATAGGTAGTTTAAAATAATCACATTTTAAAATTTTTTTGCAGTAATTTATATGAACGAATAGTCGTATTAGAGCAAAGTAATATTGAGAAAGATAAAGATATAGAGCGCCTTAATCAAAAAAATGCAGTCAAGGATAAAGATATTGAACAACTTAGTCAAATGGTTAATAATTTAATCGCTGAGTTTGGGCAATCTCAAAATGCAATATCATTAATTACATGCAATGGTGTGTATATATGGAGATTTGAAAATTTTATGGAGTCTTTGAAATCAATGAGAGAAAGGCCATCACAAACACGATACTACACTCCAGGATTCTATACATCTTCTACTGGATACAAGTAATTAATTCAAGTACAAAATACCTGATGTTTAAAATATTTTTTTTCAATTTCAGAGTATGTGGTCGAATAAATATGTCAACAGACAATCGTAATCTTTCTCTATTTATTCACATGATGCGTGGTGAATATGATGATACTTTAATTTGGCCATTTTCTGGTCATATTACTTTATTTTTAATCCATCCAACAAATCCAATGCAGACCATTTGTTTGAAAATGCAATCATCAGCTGAATCTGAAGCATTTAGAAGGTGTTCTTTCGGAAATATTAGTAATGAGGTTCCTCCTTTAAATCCAAGAGCTTTTGGATACCATGAATTTGTTGCTATTGATGAAATTCTTCAAAATGGATTTATTAAAAATGACTCAATTGTGATTAAAATAATTGTTAAATGTACTTAATTTTTGATCTCTGTATATTGTTGTAGGTTTATAAAAGTATTATATGTAACTATATCCGTCCATAAATAAATTTATTCTAGAACTGTTATATTTTAAATAAATTGTATAAAATAAATAACAATTTAAAAAAATGTATACTCTCAATTTTCAAAACATGGCGATTTAGAATTTACTTGAGTATCGTCAATTTTATAATCCTTGGCCAGGTCTATTTCCTAAAATTTTATGTATATAAGTAAATATCTATATTTTTTTTTATAAAAAAAATTTAATATCAAACAAAAATCTAAAATAGATTCTTACTGAACGTGGAATCCACCAATCCAAAAGTCTTAGCAATATGTGCATAAATGATACTACTAGTAGAAATGGATATACTCCAGTTGGTATGTAGCTAGAATTTAAATAATATATTTGTAATAAAATAATTTATAAAATTAGCTTTATGGAATTGTACCTGCGCAATTGTTTTCCTAAAGTTTTTGGTGGTTCTAATGAAACCATGTTATACACTATCTCTGTTCTTTTAGCAATATTCATCCAGTTATACAGCGATTGTACTTTTTGATGACATTCAATTGGTGGTACTCCGAGTTCACTATTTACTTGATTTATAGCTTTATATAATCCTTGGAGTATAGCTAAAAGATCAAAATATATATTTATTTTTTTTATATAACATGCACATATTTAATTTTTCTTAAAACAAATTATTCTATTATTTGTTTGAAGGGTTTTGCTACCCACATTATTTATGAATATAAATTCATTACAAACACTTAAATTAATGTAACTTACATGGAACATTAGGTTCAGTTAAAATTATAAGTTCTGGAGGTAATACTTCAGGTATGCCACCTACTCTTGTACTTACAATCTTTAATCTTGAAATTGAAAATAAATTATATTATTAATTAAATTAAATATATTATAATTATTGAAAAAAAAAAAATTAAAACCATACCCACAAGAAGCAGCTTCAACAATAGCCATACAATATGCTTCTGTTAAGGATGTATTTAAAAATATATGCCCACGATTAAGAACATTGCATACTTGTGAATGCTCCAAACTACCTAGTAATGTTACTTGTTCACCAATATTCAAATTGTTACGAATGTCTTCAAGAAGTTCACGTTTAGGACCATCACCTCCAATAATAAATTGAACCTATAAAATATTATAATAGTTGATTTCATTAAAATTAGGCAAACCAAGTTTATATACTACTGTAGTAAACAAAACACACTTTTTGATTTTTCAAGCAAACATCAGCAATAATTTGAGCTAATAGATCAACACCTTTTCTATAAACCAAACGACTAACCACGACAATCGTAACTGTTAATATAATCAATTAATTTCAATAAATATTTTTAATAATCTATTCTAGGCAAATGATTACTTTTATTTTTTGTTCTTAATTCCAACTTAGGAACAAATGCTGTTGTATCAACAGCATTTGGTATGACTGAAACTCTATGATGATTAACGCGAGCCCGTAATACTGTATTTTCTTTACTAAAAAAAAAAATAACTTTTAAATTATGTACACTGTTTATGTAATTAAATTAATAATTACCCAATATGTGATACACAAATACAGTGATTACAATCAGCTAATGACATTTCTAAAAATTTGTTTGTTATTATAGCTGAAGTGTCAGCAAATCCGAATAGTGAATGGTCCGTGAATACTGTCTAAAAATTAAATATTTGTATTTATTATTATTTTACATATATTGCTGAATTATTTTTACTTGTATGCCTAGTAAACGACCAATCATCATTGTTTCATGAGCTAAAGTTGAAAATGCTGAATGACCATGTATAATACTTATTTGTTCTCGAACTAAAACATATCTAATTAATGGTAAAGAAGAAACCATTGAAGGTAAGACACATTGGTTATAAAATGGTTTGATTGGCAAATAGTACACCTATTAAAATTATTAATGATTTATTTTTTGTTGTAGTATTAAGTAGTTTTAACATATATTTTAATTTACTTTCAATCCATTTGTCATATAGCGTACTCCAACTCTATCTTGATATGAATGAGTTAAGACAATAACTTTATATCCTTTCATCAAAAGGCATTGTGACAAATTAAATATGTGCTCTTCCACACCACCCATGTTCGGATAGAAGAAATCTGATGCCATACTAAAATTACAATTTTAGTCAATGCAACTTAAATACTAAATAACTATTGTTCACAAAATTATAATTTTGTGTAGAATATAATATCTAGGCCTATTAATCATCATAAATTCAAATGAAAATGTAACTATAAAACTATTAGTAGGTACCTACCAACAAATACATATTAGTTTTGATGATTTTAATAATGTATAGTTCAATGAATTCCTTATTTAAGAACAAAAAAATTACTGATATAGATATAAGATATTATATTATGAGTGTAAATTATGTTATTACATGTTTGATTATTTATCTAAACATTTTCACCAAATATTAATTAATTTGCACATCAATAACAAATGTTATTCATGTTAACCCTTCCTAACACATACCTTCTGAATAACAGATAGTACATTACCAAACATTGTGTGTAACATTCTCTTATTAATATACAAGGTGGGATTTGATAGACTGTGATATGGGATTTCATAGATTCAATGCTCAAAGTATTCGCTATGCTCAGTAGTTTGCCAAAAAAACTGCAATCGGTTGGTTTTGACCTTAGTCTTTAATTCATAGCCTCTTCCATTTTAATTACTATGTAAATTTTATAATTTAATTTGTGTTGCATTAACACTATGAAAAGTAAATAATGCATTATGATTTTGAACTTGGTTACATACCAAATTTTGTGTTTCATTTTGAAATGTGCACTCATTGATCAAAAGTTGCAGTTCGGGAGAATCAAAAAAAAAAGTTAAAATGAAAAATTATAATTGACCGTAAGTAAGAACTGCAGTATTATATTATTCGGTAACTCTAGTCTTTGGTAGGAAAGTATTAGCTAAATGTCTAAATAATACTAATAACTAATATTTAAATCAGAATATCAAATAGGGTAGAAAGAAGCAAACGTAACACAGAAATATTATTAATGAAATAAATAATAATGAATATATTAAATTATTTAATAATTAATAATGAGTTATGAGTAATGGCGTAAAGCCAAATTGCCGAAATGCCGAATGCGAAGAATTGATTATTCAATTATTGATATTTCAGATTATATAGATAAGATCATGATAACTACAGATATGGAAAAATCATGAACATGGATAATGTTCATGGGCAAAATAAAGGTTGCCTCCATATTCATGTAAACAAACTCGATCACCCCCCGCACCATATGGCATATTCTTGACCGTGTAATTATAATGTGTCATTCATCGTTTGCATCGTCGACAATTCGTCGTACAAAACTACAAAGTCGGYGGACTACCATGTTCTAATCATGATAAATTTATCACTAGAACATACAACGTATTTATTTTACTATTTACGATTTCGTCTATTTCGCAATTTTCGCATTCAAATGAACAATTATCTACTCAATAAACTCAATTTCTCTGAAAAGAAGTTGTAAATGCATTATTGTTTTCGAGACGTACTTTTAGAATAGAGGTTAGGTTATATTACATTATATCATTATGCACAAAATTGTAATTTCTTGTATATTGAATTGAATGCTGATTTTATGGTATAATATTATAATGTATTATTATTAATTTATTATTATGTTCAATTGTTGAGATAATATCATAGTTTAATCACAGATTATATAAAACATATTAATAATTATATTATTATATATAATATTAATTATATAATCTGTGGTTTAATATTACAAGCTAATTAAAATAAAAATAAAAAATATCAATTGGCACATTTTTATTTTTTGTACGTGATGATGAATTTTTTGAAACCTAACAAATATTAATAATATTATAGTACCTATACACACTTTTTTATTGTTACAATAGGCAAATCATTTTTTTTTTATACTCCATCATTGTTTAAAACATTTCATAATTTTTTATAATTATTTTGTGATTTCTGTTTATCTATTTTGAAGAATAAATTACATCAACCATATTCAATTTACGTAGGTAAATTTTACGTATCTAATTAGTAGGGCTCGGATGTTGTTGCATTTGCAATCTTTTTTCTATTGTTCGGATTCGTTGCTAAGTAAGATATAAATTTGTTTCAAACGAGTACCAAACTACCAACTAATTTATAAAAATTTTAAGTGCAACTTTTTGCAATTTTTGACCTTTTTTCAATKTTATTGYAATTTYGTTGATTGTCGTCATTTTTAATACAATTTTATATATTTTTTTATGTTTTCACTTTTTTTTATTAGATTATACAGTGCAATAATTTTTAAGGTAAGGTAAGGTTTTTTTAAAAAAACAAATCAAAAATATAAAGTTTTAAATGTTGATAAAATTATTTGTAGATTTCTAAAAAATAAGAAGACCGCACAATTTCCCAGATTTTTAATGACAACTGACGAGAATTTGAATTTGAATCTTTTTTATTATCTACTCGTTTAAATGTTTAAAACCTATCCAATAAAACTTTATAATAGGTACTACTTGTATAGTTGTATTTGTATATGATCCACAGCTTTCCATCAAAGCATTTAAAGCCGTGATATGATCTAAGACTGAAAGTCTGAAAACTGAATATAAGTCAGTGTTGCCAGATTAAAACAATTCAAATTATCTTTCAATAATATAGTATTTCCTGCTAAGTTTTAAAATTTCCCCGACCTAAAAATGTTTATTAAAAGTCATAATTATGATCTACATGATTGTAGCATAGATTGCAGTCATAACGAAATATTCATTTGTATTTTATTTTGTCATATAACCATAGATCTTAAAATACTTATGAGGTCTATGGATATTGGATATTGGATATAACCAGCCGGGTCTAAATTTTTTTATCTAGCCCAGTGCGACCGCGACACGAGACGCGAAAAATCCCGCACAGCCTGGGTGAGACGTCATGCAAGTTCCGAGCCCGCGCCGACGACGCTATAAACAAACGCCATTTTGTGCTATGATGCTCGAGTCCGGTGCCCACCCACTCCCCGCCGCATAATTA